GAATGTATGTTTATATCTTCTCTAAATCAAGATTATGTGAATCTGATTTGTTTCTGTTGGGTGCAATTCATTATCAACAAGAGATAAGATAAGTCAAAGAAGTACTTTATTGATGGCAGTATAAAAATACAAAAAAAATGTTGTATCAAAAAGGCATGCCATTAAACAATACAAATAAAAAATGTAAAACTGTATTGCAGCCAGCATAAATATACATGGCATTGTAAAAATAAATATAAAATGAACATTTTAAAGAAAATAAATAAACAAGAAAGTACAAATGTTGCATTTAAAAATTAACTAGATAAAAAATATATAATATGTACAATAACTATTAAGGTTATTTGAAGTATCACGGAGGAGACGGGCCACGTCGGCTGCCACGTCGGGGGCCACGTCGGCTGCCCAGTCCCCCTAGCACCTCGCCAAGAGTGCGCAGGAAGGCTAGGTTGAAGGTCTCTGCTTGAGCTGCCTCCTCCCTTCTCAAGACGGCCTCCTCCCTTCTCAAGACGGCCTCCTCCCTTCTCAAGACGGCCTCCTCCCTTCTCAAGGCCGCCTCCTCCCTTCTCAAGGCCGCATCCAACTCCCATCTCCGCTCAGCAGACGCTTTGGCCCGGTCCAAGTGCCGTTCCTGCTGGGCCATGTGCTGTTCATGGTGCCGTTCCTGCTGGGCCCGATCCTCTCCTCCTCGTTTCCTCTTGCCTGGGTGACAATAAGATAATAATTAGCAATAAGGAAAAAACACAGGACAGGTACAGGTCACACAAGGATATAAGAATAACATGTATAAACAGAACAACAGTAAGGTGAACTAAAGAAAGTTCTGGCCCTAGATGTTAACAATGATTGTGAAAGTGAATTACATTATGTCCAGCCTGTTGATAATGAATATAAATATATGTATATGATAGGATGTCACACACAACTGTACTAGCTGCTTACTAGCTACGACTTTACTTGTAACAGAGCATTTCCACACAGTGGTATAGCTTATTTTAATTACTGACGATGGATGATCCAAGGTTTAAAAAAACAAAACACAATTCCAGTCGTTTTGCCATTTATATTTCTTACCTAGAACCACACGCTGCGGTGTCGTGATGGCACTCGGCGTTGGTGGTTGAGTTGGTGTCGGTTCTTCGGCTGGTGTCTGTGGTCGAGCTGGGGTCCGTTCTGGATTCGATGACGATGTTGTGGACGGAACACTGCCATCACCCGTTGTTCGGGAATGTTCCTCCTCACTAGTCCCAATGTAATCATCTAGAACAGCAAAATGACTTGTTAATTCCACAAACTACTGCAGCACAATACTAAATAGCAACAACAACTATAGAAAAGAAAAACTGAACGTAAACAATGGCACATATGGTGTTAGCAAACAATAGCTCTAGCTAAGGCTATCTGCCTTAGCTAGCTATGTAGCTCTTCGGGGCTCCATAAAAGCATGGGTTGTCGAACATTAATGTAAGGATAAAATAGACTTCTTTGTTAGAAGTGAGCGTACCTTGCAAGTCGAACCACTTCCATTGTTTCCTACCCGCACCACTCGTGTTATTGTTGTCCTTTACTTGGCGATATTCACTCTTCATCTTTTTGAGTTTTTCCCTACTTTGCAGGAAAGTCCTCGAAAATCCGCGTTCGGACATCTGTGCAGAGACATCCTGGAACACTTTCACATTTCGAGTTGTTCCGTCGAGCTCCCGCTGGATTTTATCATCCCCAATGAGATTTAGGAACGTCGTCACCTCCTCGGTCGACCACGGTGTGCTTTGCTTCGACGTTGTCATTTTTGTAGCTCCTCCGTTTACAAAAATGCTTTTTATAAAAATGTTGCAAGCTTGCTTCTAGATATATATGCGACGCTAGGGATGATCTCGCGTGCGATCTTGTAACGATTCTCTCTGACCAATCAGCAGTCGAGAGTGTTGACGTCACTAGTTCAGCCCTGGCCTGATAGAACCACGATTTTATGGGGCCGGAAAAAGAGGGAAAAAGTACCCGCTAGCCGGTGCTAGGCTATATGGAAAGGCCACCAAAAACTGGCCTGGCCGCTTGAGGACGGTTAAGGACGCTTAAACGGGGCTACCCGCTGCAGTGGAAATGCGCCATTAGACAAGTTTCCTTGGCTCTCCAGCGCCGCCTTAGGAATTATATTCACTTCCCAACACAAGAAGAAGCAGCAAAATCCTCCTGGCATCCGTGAAGATATCGATGGACGACTTAACCACAATCACATAATAAACAACCTATTTGTAATATGAACGCTGTTTTTTTGCAATTGCATTTCAATAAGCTCCCATTGTGACCACATCTTTTCATCAGGCTGTTTTATAGCCTATTTTATTCAAAAAACACACACAAGAACATTAGATAACATTTAGAGAACTATTAACATGACATTGAGATAAAAACAAGAATGACAAATTGTCTTGATTGATTCTTTGCTGATTCTTAAGAATTATAATTTGGAGTCTTAATTTCTCCTTCTCCAGCTCAATTTTGTCATGTTCCGCTCTCAGTTGTGCGGTCTCCACCTTCACACGAACGATCTCTTTCTCCACCACACTGTAAAAAAAAAACTCGTAAAAAAAAGGTCAAAGTACTGGCAGCAGCGGCTGCCAAACAAAAACCCTTAAATTAAAGTAAAATACTTTAACTGAAATAAAGTGAATAAGCCATTAATTTACGGGAATTGTACTTAAAGATTTTACAGGAAAACACTGTAATTTTACAGATTTATACTCTCTTTTTACAGTCAATAACCTTAAATAAAAGTACATCACTCATACTTCTACAGGCAAATACTCTAATTTTATAGATGTATCCTCTCTTTTTACAGTCAATAACATTTAATAAAAGTACAGCACTAATATTTTAACGTGCAAACACTGTAATTTTACAGATTTATCCTCTCTTTTTACAGTCAATAACATTTAATAAAAGTACAGCACTAAAACTTCTACGGGCAAAAAACCCGTAAAAAAACGGTCAAATGACTGGCAGCAGCGGCTGCCAAACAAAAAACATTAAATTAAAGTAAAAATACATTAACTGAAATAAAGTGCAAAAGCAATTAGTATACAGAAATTGTCCTTAAAGATTTTAGAGGAAACTTTCCTCTCTTTTCAAAATCCATTGTCTTAAAATGTTACATTAAAATACCTTAAATAAAGTTCTGATGAGAAAAACAGTTTACATTTTTTTTTATTAGATTTGTATGATCAAACACTAAAATAAATACAGAACCTAAAGTTAGAATACTGTTATCTTACAGCTTTTTTCTAACATTTTCCAATCAAACAGGTTCAACAAAATGACATCACAAAATGTTCTGTAGGAAACAATTACTCTGAAAACTTAAAATGAGTGCTGTCAAAATTATCGCGTTAACGGCGGTAATTAATTTTTTTAATTAATTGCGTTAAAATATTTAACGCATTTAACGCATGTGCAGAATGGCCCGCCCCATACGTGCCACCAGTGGCAGCGCCAGGGTATGGCTGGGGTAGGCTACACCCATACCAAGAAATGGCTTAGCCCCACCATGAAAAATGATGTTAAAGGAAGCAAAATAAAGTCTGCCAACTCGCGGAGTAAATTGCACAGACAGCAGTTAGTAAGATTGATTTCAGTAGCCACGGTTTTGAAAACTTTTGTCACGTAGTGATCGTCTTCTCAAAAGAACATCTTTGATAACGGCGTGGTGTTGTTGCAGGAAGTCCCGACGGGGAATACTTTTGCTGTAGTACAGGGGTGCACATAACTGGTACGCAGATTATGTGCGTAATCTGAAATGCGTACCGTCACTTGTGTCACAAAGCGCATTTGCTTACCGACGTACTTGTGAAGCTTTTCCAGAAGGCGGTTAGATCACCGGACGAGAGTCGGTCTCCGTGTGCACAGACAGGGCTGCTGTTAACGTCGGTCTGTACAACGGAATTGTGCCCAAACTACGCCAACCGGCTGCGGAGGGAGACTCCCCCCCCCCCCCCTTCACTGGAGAACTGCGCTAAAACAGCTGATCACAACGTTCACACTCTGTGGTCAAGAAGTACTCCACTAGCCGCCCCTGTAGGATAATGAATATTGGCTGCAAAAAACTTGAGGCCCAATCATGTTTCCTTTGTCCATTCTGCGCTACTGTAGACGTGGCAGTGCAACCTAGAGGACAAACCGATCAGAATCAGAAACGGGTTTATTGCCAGGTAGGTTCACACGTACGAGGAATTTGACTAGGTGTCGTGCACCACGACACCTGGACACACGACATACAAATAAAAAAAATTAAAAAGTACACAGATAGCGAACTATATTAAGAACACTGTAATAAAAATATAGTAAGATAGAAATAAAATAAAATCGATTACAATAATTAAAATAAAATCGATTACATCGAAATAGAATGCAATAAATTATAGAATATAAAATATGTGCAGTAAGCAATATTTAAACATTGCATTATTTACCATCCTGTGATCTCCATTATGTAATGCATAGAGTCTGCGTTGTGGCTAAGGTAAAGTGTCAGTGGGGGGGGGGGGCCTTGTTGAGGTGGCGAGAGGTTCTGGTCCTGATGGAGAGAGGTGTTGGTCCTGATGGAGAGAGGTTTTGGTCCTGATGGAGAGAGGTTTTGGTCCTGATGGAGAGAGGTTTTGGTCCTGATGGAGAGAGGTTCTGGTCCTGATGGAGAGAGGTGTTGGTCCTGATGGAGAGAGGTTCTGGTCCTGATGGAGAGAGGTTCTGGTCCTGATGGAGAGAGGTGTTGGTCCTGATGGAGAGAGGTTCTGGTCCTGATGGAGAGAGGTTCTGGTCCTGATGGAGAGAGGTGTTGGTCCTGATGGAGAGAGGTTTTGGTCCTGATGGAGAGAGGTTTTGGTCCTGATGGAGAGAGGTTTTGGTCCTGATGGAGAGAGGTTTTGGTCCTGATGGAGAGAGGTTCTGGTCCTGATGGAGAGAGGTTCTGGTCCTAATGGAGAGAGGTGTTGGTCCTGATGGAGAGGTGTTGGTCCTGATGGAGAGAGGTTCTGGTCCTGAGGGAGAGAGGTGTTGGTCCTGATGGAGCGCAGCCTCCAGCCAGAGTGTTGTGTTGAAGGCAGAGCTGAAGTCCACAAACAGGATCCTGGCGTAGGTTCCTGCTGTGTCCAGATGCTGGAGGAGGAAGTGAAGTGATAACTATTAGTTAACCATAATGATGGATGTTATTATCAGCAGCTGCCAATAGATCCCCTACATCTTGTATGATGGACCTTTGAAGCACAAGCACGCACTATTGTGGGAACAATCAAACGCACCCTCCCAGGCACTGCGTGTTAGCGAAGTACAACTGGGATTTCGAAGAGGAAGATATGCTTGGTCAATTCTTAATAAAAAATAAAAACCAACAAATTGAGCACTTGAGTTTTCATTAGCAGCGCCTAGCTACAGCTGCGGAGCTTTAGTAAATACCGCTAACAGTCTATTTCCTTAAAATGGTACATATCGCTGAATCTATATTTTTATCTTCAGGTGATGAAATCTGCATAATGTTCCTGTACAATAAGATTCGAGCATTTTGTAATACAGTGAGGAAATTCAAGACCAGTAAATATTGATTGATTAAACAACACTAAATAAAATGTTAGTGTTTTCTTCAAACTCAGACTCTTTGCTGCGGCTGTACCTCAAAGACAAAACAATTGTCTGATGATCTTTGTTGAACAAGGTCTGATTGTCCTGTACATGTACAATGTGGGGTATTTTTAAATACTTTACTAAACCACATTCAATATTATGTTAGACACAAGTTAGTTATTACTCACATATCAAAGTATTTTCATCTGCAAGAATAGCTGGGTGCTGCCTGGAGAGACTGATGAGAGGGACACAGGCTGGCGTTAGCAGCTTTCCACACAAAACCATCACATCTTCTCTTCCATAGTCTTCGCTGTCCACTGGTGCTCTGTCAAAAGAGTGAACATCACAGCTGTCACGTTAACCCTTTGTTACACAACATACAACCAACATGTGTCAAAAGTGACCCGAATTAGTTTTAATTGTAAATATCTTTGCAATAAATTACTTTAACCATTCAGGATCCCAGGTATTCCTCAATTAACATGTTTTGGATCAACACCAATTCTAAATTTGTATTTGTCCCTTTCTTACTTTTTGAATAAAAATCATGTTTGTATCACTACACTTAAGGCACAACATGGGTCAAACATTACCCGTATTCTTTTGCTATGTTATTTCATGCATGGCTGAGTGTTTCTTTACTATACATTTTCAAAAATAATTAATTTTAGCAGTGATTTGGACCAAGCATGTATGATGTAGTAATACAAAAAGTATTTTAGTTCACAGTGTGACATTAGCTAGTCATGTTAGCGTGTAATATATAGAGCAGAGCTAACTAGCAAATTAGCCGAACGTTAGCGGTTAGCTGTTTATGCTATGCTAGCTGTTGGCTACTGAACATTAACAAACTAGATTCCGCTGTAAGAAAGCTGTGACACTTTACATTAAACTTGGCGACAACACTGTGACACCCCGCTGCATGTTTATGTGTAATTCTCCCGTGTTGGAGACGAGAGGGTGGGGGGGCGGCACTGCAATAAACTGTAAACTAACGTTAGCAGCCGCATGTTAAGCCGGGTTTCCCGGGCGCAACATCTTGCAAGAAACAGCATCTCAGGGCTTCTTAACATTTAACAACCTATTAATTATGCATACCAACTTAACGGGAAGAAACTCAGCTAACTAGAAGAAGAAACGTAACCTTAAATAAAAAATAAAACATTCACAAACTAAGTAAGGATTATCTAAATACATGTTTAACTCCATTACACAGTGTGAGAAAAAGTTTTTAGAGAGTACTTGTCCATGGACACTTGTCCAGAATGGACAAAAATTGGGGCCACTGGAATTTTCTTCTTCGTCATCGTATTTGACATTTTGCCACGGTTTTTACGACACCGCTAACGTAAGTGAGCGGTAAGATTTTACTGCATCACACATAGGGTTGGGTATCGTTTCGATTTTAACGATTCCGGTTCTGCTTTTCGATTCCGGTTATTTTCGGTTCTCGATTCCGGTTCTTTGAGAGGGTACAAATAAGTCCCATGACAAACTGGGAGAAAAATATATTTATGAAAACATTAAGTCAAATCTGTATTCCTATTTACAAATCACTTCATACTGTTGAATTTCGTTACGGTTATTGAATAAAATTATATAGAAATAATCTCTGCATTGTTTAGTTAGTTCTAAGTGGTGCAGTTTGAGAATGTACAATTGATGTTACACTGCAACCTGTCTGTGAGACAGAGTCCAACCACACATGTCCAACACATAGGACATAACCTAATAATAATAATACATTATATTTATAGCCTAAGGCCTAGCGCTTTTCTACAACTCAAAGATGCTTGCACGCTTACACATGTCCTGCAATACACATGCTGCAGCTGCTCACTGTTTGGAAAAGTAAATAAATAGTATTTTCATTTCAATAATGTACTTTTTATACCCTGCTTCATAAACAATACTGACATCCCTGTGCTCCTCCGAGTCTGGGGGTCCGGGGATGTGAGGACAGCGCGAGGACACAGGGAGGGAGGTTGCTTTACTTCATAAAGGAAATGGCGGTCAATATTAACAACACAGGAGCTAAAACGCTTAATAACCTTCATTACGTGTTAGAGAAAGAACAGAAGAAAGTGTGACAAAGATGAGGCTGTTAAACGGGCAGCGGATCCGCTGTGTGTAGAAAGAGAGAGAGAGAGACGCTGAGCTGCACCATGCAGTGATCAGTTGATACGAGCATAGAGAGAGAGAGCTGCAGTCCGCGGGGCTCGGCCTCGCCTCCTGTCCTCACAACTCTTATTAATCCCGGTACTGGACAATTGTTATTTGTTCCTACTTGGAACCGAGTTTTGCTTCCCGCCCCGCCCCGGTCTAACCGTACAGAAAGCGGCTAGATGCATTTCCTTAGGAATCGACAAGCAGAACCGAAACAAAAATGTCTAAACGAACAATGGCGGACACGTACAATTTGCGAATGAGTTCTGCCTTTTGTAAACTGAATGTATCAATAATTTGTCAATAAATCAGGGCGAAAACCGTCACTTGTCCACCGGACAAGTCAATTGAAAGATCTACTTGTCCGATATTGTAAATAACACGTCCCGGACGGTGGGACGTGTACTTTTTCGCACACTGATTACAGTTGCAGGACTCACCAGATCTCAAGTCTTCTGTTCTTTGTTGACGTCCCGATGCTCATATTTAACGTGTAGATGTAAAACGATCCCGATATTAATCCATAAACTCCTGCAGCAGACACACAGACAGCTGTAGCTCGCAGGAGGAGACCCGCTCAAACTGACTTGGATGTTTCAAATGTGAACGACAGGCGCGGACAGTTCTCATTGGCAGGTTTCTTCGATGATGTTTATATTAACCAATCAGGAGTGTTGTGGACTCATTCCAAACATGCCTGACTTGTCTGCCGTGTTTTGGCTGAATTCTATTTCAAGTGCCGTAGCTCTGGCTGTCGGCCAGAATCCGAAAACCATACATTATACTGTAAAACTAAGGTTTATTACTGTAAATTGACCAATGGAAAAAAAACACAGCAACAGAACACATAAATAAAACAAGGATAACTGTGACTTATTGTTGAGTAAATAACAGTGTGTGTTTTAAACCTTGGTCCTCCCTGCAGAGATTTCTCCACTTTCTATGATTTTTTTTTTTAATGATATTGTCAACTGTAGATGTTTACAATATAGTAAGTTAGGAATTTCATGAGAACATATTTATTTACTTTTGTTTCAACATTGGATATTTTGTGTTTTTGTTGGATTCAATCGAATATTGAGAAAATGATTTATGTAAAAATGTTTTACTTACATTTTACGTTTTTTTTATTTTACGCTTTTCTTACAGTTTTATGTTTACCTTAAAATTACAAAGAACATCTTAAAGTCTTATAATAGTAATACACTTTTATATTACGAGTTACATATTTAATTACAGATAAAAACATTTTATTTTACGTACATCTGCATGTATTTTCTGAAAGTGCAAAAATACTGTAAATATTATATAGTAAATTTACAGTAAAAAAAAGACGAAATAAACGTTATTTGTTGTTATTGTCAAAATACTTCAAATAATGTTTTGGGTTGTTAATTTATAGTTAATATCTGTCATTTTACAGGATTTTGCAAGTTATTTAAAAAAACATGATAATTACTATACAAATTTACAGTTATTTCCTGTAAAATTACGATCTTTTTTTACAGTGCAGCTCACGCTGTAGCTCTGTAAAATCCCTCTTTCTTTTTCGGGGTGTGGGCGTCATTTCTGTCTTCTTTTGGTTTCTGTTATCCATGACTTCGTTATCCAAGTCTTAGTTTGCTCTGAATGGAGGAGTTCGAGTGTTAAATTATGTAGACGTGTGGTGCTTGGCAACAATGACTGTTTCGCATGTATTCACGTGGACGCGCATCTTAAGACCAGGCGCAGCTACGACCGAGACTAGTCAGGCTTGGTGCACTCGGTGTAAATTTGAATCACTAAGTCGGACGTAGCTAGGCCTAACGTTAGAGTACTTTTTTACGCCCAGCTGGTGCACTCCACTCCTGAGCCTTAAAATTGAGTCTTGAATCAAATTAAGACCCTCAGGTATTTGTACTGTGAGACCACCTGTAGCCTCTCCCCAGACACAAACACATCTGGCTCAACGCAGGAGGACTTGGTTTTGGTGAAGAACATACATACAGTTTTACTGACATTTAGTTGCAGACAGCATTGATGTACATGATCTTTAGTTTGCTAGTTATTGCGAAGAGTACTTCAGGAAATTGTGTCCATTCAACGTTTTCATTGTTACCAAGGTGGTTGCTAGGGACCCTGCTATCCATATTATTTCTGTTATGTTGTGTAACTGTTTAATGGTGCTATCTTTATTGCTACCCCCTTCCCCGTCAATTTATAGTGTTGGTCCACAGCGCAAACTTATTAGTTTAACAAAATCCGCATCTAAAATTGTGACATAGATACGTTATTTTCCCCTGTGCAATTCTCCAACCCAGTCTCACATCTCACATCACATCGTCATAAACAAATACTGGAAACAGACCGAAAACATTTAAAAAAAAATTGAAAAAAATGTATTCCGAGTGTTTTTGCTTTTCTCTTTGAAAGTCATCACATAACGGCATTGTAATACACGGCTCGGCTGCATTAAGTATTACATATCTGCCGTAGTTCTCTATTTATGATGATGTTGCAAATGTATTATCTTTTCAATTTACACACGGCATCTATTGCACGTCTGTCCGTCCTGGGAGAGGGATCCCTCCTCTGTTGCTCTCCCTGAGGTTTCTCCCATTTTTCCCTTTAAACTGTGGGTTTTCTTCGGAAGTTTTTCCTTGTACGATGTGAGGGTCTAAGGACAGAGGGTGTCGTATTGTCATACTGATATTTTGTACAAACTGTAAAGTCCACTGAGACAAATGTAACATTTGTGATATTGGGCTATATAAATAAACATTGATTGATTGATTGATTGATTGATTGATTGATGAGAAGACTTATAGACAAACATGAGGAACTGAAAACGTGACGTGGATCATAAATATATCAGCAATTAAACAACATCTTACATTTATTTTCACACAATACGTCTCCTTGCAGTATCAACACTAATTCGGCTGACTTTTATATTTGATCCAATTGGTAGATAGGCTGTATTTACACCATAAAGGTGCACAGCTGATAGAAAGGGACACCTAGTGGTTAAAACATGTTATTGAATTTCATTATTTTTATTATTAGATATTAATAGGATCCCTATAAAGTATATTCATTACTCGTTATTCTCTACTAATAGTTAATTAAAGACTGTATATATCTGGCACATCCCTTTCAAGATTTTCTAAGGTTTATTGACATATCATATACACAAACGGTGTAGTTATGCATTGAATTAAAAACTTGGGTCGCAGGTTCCTCAACAGTGCATTACAAGACATCTATCAATATGTGTGTATACCTCCAGCAATGTTAACTATGTTGAAGCACTTATTTTAACTGATATTATACATATGTATTATACTCTTATAAGATGTATGTAGATAGTATAAGAAATGTGCAGAATACGACAGTTTAATGGTGGAGGTATACACACATATCGATAGATGTCTTGTAATGCGCTGTTGAGGAATCTGCGACCCAAGTTTTTCATCTCAGACCTTGTCAGGTATTGAACATTCAATAAATAAAGAACACAGAATTATTAAATATAAAACACAGAATTTGTGTGATTATACTAAATGATTTACAAATAAACACCACTGCATATTTACAACTGTTACACATGCTGATGTAACGCAAATGTTTCCAACTTGGGATCAATAAAGTATATCTTATCTTAAGCTGATCGATGGCTACTGCCATATTTGCAAAATGTGCCTCTGAACCTTGACAAGTGCATGTTTCAGGCTCATCAATGAACAACAGGAGGGGTCACAGACATAATACCAGCTATTAAATAAAGCTCTTCTGACCTTAGCTGGCATGTGGGTATATATATATTAATGCTTCCCATTATGGGCACAAGCAATATTCACCCATTTATTAATTATATGTTTTAAATGTGAGTGTTTCCTATTCCCTAAACCTCCAGGGATGTACACAGTTTAATACTGGCAACTTCTTATTATGGGAAATACGAAAACGTCTTTTAAAACTACAATTCCCAGCAGAGACGTGCCATAGATAGAGAACATGTTGCGAAACACAATAGCCAGCATGTGTAGTTCTGGGGACGGGGTGGGGGAGGGGGGGACGGGGTGGACCCGTTCAAATCCAGTTTTGGACAGTCTGCCGTGGTTCCATCCCATTTCAAGTGCTGTTCGACGCTCGGCGTAACCCTCGGAGCACACTCTCCAATCACAGAGCTTGAGGACTATCACAGGGTTTGTCAAGCGAAGCGGAGAGAATACTTACTTCCGGGTGTAATATTCTCTAAAGCAAATGAGCTGCTCCGACCCTCGGTCCTGACGGACTCCAACTTGTGTTTATTAATCAAACAAATAAATAAACACAAGGATAATGATGTGCTATTGTTGAGTAAATGGAGAATTGCACAGGGGAAAATAACGTATATGCCACAATTTTAGATGCAGATTTTGTTAAACTAATACGTTTGCGCTGTGGACCAACACTATAAATTGATGGGGAAGGGGGTAGCAATACAGATAACACCATTAAACAGTTACACAACATAACAGAAATAATATGCACTGAAATTACTTGCGTATAGATCGTCAGGGTTTTATCTTTCAGAAAAAAACCTCCTGACTTATATGTAATGATAACAGATGTGAGGCACGGACAGGGGCTATCTTGAAACGTCCATCTTCTTCATATCTGAAGTCAGTGAGCTCTTGGTGGTTCAGGGAAACATGACCCGAATGTCCTTCAGTAAACAACCGAGAGGTCCTTTCTTATGCCTGTTTCCAAGCCAGTAAGTCCATTCTATAACTGCAAGATGTTCTTTAAAAAGTTTCTCAGTTCGGTTTCCCCTAAGCTGCCAAAGTATTGATTTGTAGTTAATCATGATTACAACACTTTGAATTCAACAGAATACATGCACTGCTGTGACCGACAGACCGAGTCACCACTTTAATATTAAGATACCATTAATACCTGTACATTACTGATAGTTCATGAAGTACTACATTAATGAATTCATGCTTTTTCATGCATTAAGTCATGAATGAATTCATGATGATTCATGTACCCTTACCATAAACTGTTACCCATGTATTTTACTGTTTTGTACAGAGGGGACTTTGTTATAGATTTATTTATATGTGTGTCTGTGATTTTATACTGAATGTAAAGTAACTGGAAATACCTGTGTGTGCTAGTGACTTATCCGACCGGCCCAGTTCGGTACCGGCCCATCGGGATTCGTCCCGAACGTCCCGATGACCAGTCCGCCACTGCACCTTGGCACAAAGGCCTCCACCTCAGGGAGAGCAACAGAGGAGGGATCCCTCTCCCAGGACGGACAGACGTGCAATAGATGCCGTGTGTAAATCGAAGAGATAATACATTTTACAGCATATAGACCGAATGTTAGGAAATGCACGTGTCTGCAATAAGAAGATGAATCCACGAGGATGTCAGCTACAATCCTGTGGAAGCCATCAGGGAAGCAGCATGGCGAGACCCAAGGCAGGACCGCAGAGACAGGTTCAGCCACGACCCGAACGTCCACGACTTAATCCAGAACTCGGGATAGAGGATCCAAGACACAGGACTACAGCAAGAGGATCAGCCTCGACTCCGGATCCCGGCGTAGATATATATACAAAACAAGAAAAAAGATTTGGCTGGGTTAATCGGAACAAGAGAATACACAGACACAGACAGAGAGGGAAAAGGTCATTGGATAAAAGTTATTCTTGACAACCCTCTAGAAAGATCTCATGAACTTCCCCACTCAATCTATCAAGACCCGAGCAGTTCTATTAGATATAGGATAAGAAACAGAGAGAGGGAGCACAACTACCTATCTCTTCGTCAGATGCACTCCCCCGCTTATCTAAGCGACTCTGTACCCCGTTACCCTCTACAAGGCCATAGACCAGCAGAGGGAAAATGGGGGGGGGGGGGTGGGTAAGGGTTTTTAAGAATAAACCACAAGGGTCTAAAGGGAAAAAAGATGAAATATAAGGTACTATATTTTAAGTAATCCTATCTACTATTCCTATATTCGAATAATGTATAAACTATTTTAAAAATACTTTATGAAATCCTATGTTATGTTATAAATATTAAAATAAAGAACTAAATGAATAAATAAATAACTACATAAATGAATAAATAGATAATTAAACAAAAGCCAGAGAGAAAAAGTGAGTTTTAAGTGTTGATTTAAAAACCCCCAGGGTCTGGGCCGACCTCACACGAAGGGGCAAAATATTCCATAGCCTAGGGCCAGCCGCTGCGAAAGCTCGATGCCCTCGGGTTTTAAGCCTGGTCTTAGGCACTATCAACAGCAGCTGATCAGCCGACCTTAAGGCTCTGCCTTGGGTGTAGCGATGGAGAAGTTTGGCTATATAGGCAGGAGCCAGCCCATTTAGGGCTTTAAAAACAAATAAAGGAGTTTAAAATCTATTCTGAACCGAACTGGAAGCCAGTGCAATGAAGCCAGAATTGGGGTGATATGGTCGCGCTTTTTATGACCAGTGAGAAGACGTGCAGCTGCATTCTGAACTAGCT